CTATCTTCAACTTTACTAGGTACTAACTTAAGAACTCAAAGGGGCTGGTACTGCCAGATTTAGCCAATTAAAGCTCAGAATGCTCAGTTAAATTCAAACATCAAATAATCATAATTCTCAATGTAAGGATATTTCATGTAAAATTTATATTTTATGAACAAAATCACACTGACTTTATTCTAGAACTGGTTTCTTCTCTTTCTTTTGTTTTTTTTTTTTCTTGGTGTTTGTTTGTTGTTTTGAGACGGGTTCTCTCTACATAGCTCTGGCTATCCTGGAAATTACCACGTAGATCAAGCTGGCTCCAACTCACAGAGGCTTGCCTGCCTCTGCCTCCCAAGTGCTTGGCAACCTTAAGGAGGCTCGTGAACTTTACCAAACCACAAAGTTAGTCAATGAAGAGTGAGTGCGGGGGAGAGGTGTGAGTGAGAGAGAGAGGGGTGGTAAAAACACTTCTTTTCCTTTCCCTGTCGGATGGCCAACCCAGACAGATTCTAAGGTTAGCCCAGAGGACTCAAGGGCACGCTGGCTAGTTACATATATAACACATTGGCTCAACAAGTACGTACCACTAAATATATGCCCGATTCTAGAAGTAAATTGTAAACATGACAGACCAGGGTACTTGCCCTCACTGAGCTTCAGGCACAGTGAAGGAAAGGAAGACGGCCCCGTGAGGAATATGCTAAGGGACCAGTAGTCTTCTGGCTGATGGGGAGAGAAAACTGGCTGGTGGGTTTTGCTTACTTGGCTGGTGGGGGTGGGAATCTCCTACTATTGCTGATTTAAAGCTGCAGTTCTGACACCACTGAACACTTAGAAGGGAACTGAAGGAAACAGCCAGTGCTCAGGGTGACAGGAACTGGCTCCAGCATCCCATTGAATGGGATGCTTACAAAGGACATCTTCATTCAGTCTGGCTCAGTTGTGGGCTTGGTGAAAAGGATTCAGATGGCATAGGAATTGATTTTTTTTTTCACTTGAATTGAGAAGAAATCAATTCTTAGAAGACATAAGATACGGTATTCTTATAGCTATCATCATTATTATTTTGGTTTTTCGAGACAGGGTTTGTCTGTGTAACCTTGGCTGTCTTGAAACTCACTCTGTAGAACAGGGCGACCTCAAGCTCACAGAGATCTCCCTGCCTCTGCCTCCTGGGATTAAATGTATGCATTATCACCACCTGACAAAATGCATCTTTTTTACGTCTATAATGTTGCATCCTTTTAAAATAATTTTACTTCCAAAGAAAAATGGAAAAGAATCTAATAGCCATAACTGTAAATTATAGTCACTCTACAGATGAGGGCTCAGGTCTCTACCTGCTGTATATGACTCTGCCTCGGGAGACCTTTGGAGACTTCTGCCTTGCTCCCTCACCTCTTTATTGAGCCTCATAAACCCATTCTTCTCACAAAATTGACAGAACACTTGGCCTGGACCAGATACTTCTCTAGAAGCTTCAGAATGAAGAAACCAGGGCACAAGACATTTTCCCTGTTTTTTTTTTCTGGGAAGGGTTCCTGCCCTCTCTTCCTTGCCATGCTGACTTCTGTGTTCAGCTGTTTTTCTAGGAATATTTCAGCCAGGAAGATTGCCCAAAGACCCCCTCCCCATGATGTGTCCTTGCTCTTGAGGTCTCCCGATCAGCCCTCAGTGGCAGATGTCCCCTTCAGTCTGAATTTGGATTCTTCTGACATTCCCATATTTTTCCTGTCACACAATCTATTACTTATTATTATTACTTATAGTCACTTATTTTAAGTGATTATATGCACATAAACACAGACACATTTTTCAAGACAGATTCTTGATATATGTCTTAGTTAGGGTTTTACTGCTGTGAACAGACACCATGACCAAGACAACTCTTATAAGGACAACATTTAATTGGGGCTGGCTTACAGGTTCAGAGGTTCAATTCATTATCATCAAGGCAGGAGCATGGACACATTCAGGCAGGCATGGTGTAGGAGGAGCTGAGAGTTCTACATCTTCCTCTGAAGGTCACTAGGAGAAGACTGGCATTCAGGCAGCTAGGTGGAAGGTATTAAAGCCCATGCCAACAGTGACATACCTACTCCCACGAGGCCACACCTCCTAATGGTGCCATGCCCTGGGCCAAGCACATACAAACCATCACAATGTATGACCCAGTTGGCCTTGGACTTACAGTCTTTCTGCTTCAAGCTACCAAGGAGCTAGGGTATGTCTGTATACAGCTTATAAAATCACCTTTTATATAATTTCTGTCTAGAGACATTTTATGCATAAATTATTTAAAAGTCATTTAATGAACTTCTCCTGAATATAAAACAGTATACAATTTGCTATACACCATTTGGGGAAGGAAACAGTAACTACATAGTCTCACAGCCTATACTAGTCATTAACTTTTTGTGGTATAATCCTTCTAGTCGTTTATTTTTGTATAAACTTACAAATGGCAATCATATCTATGTTTTACTTACTATAACATACTCTGAAACTTCTATCTCTACCCTTTGGTATTTTTTGAAGGCATGAGTTTAGATGATGCATGGCCTTCCACTTTTAAGCTAAGCCCGGTTTTCTGCTTAGCTCCTTATAACTGGAAGAGGTTTCTTTAGAAGGTGGTGTGTTGTCTTCATCATAAGCCACAAGAAGGCAAGAATAGAATGTGTAATTGTCCTTCTGGGACAGCAGCCACAAGCAAAATATAACTGAAGAAACTTGCTTATGCATGTGACATGTACCTTTAAGTCATCATTAAAAAAGAAAAAAACAACAAAAACCCAAGACTGCATAAAACCCAACTCAGCGGGCAAAGAGTCAAAGATGGCTCTGGACAAAGTTGTCAGGAAGGTATCTGTAGTCCAGGCTAGCCTGGTACTCAAAGCAATCCTCATGCTTCAGCCATCCAAGTGGTGGGACTAAAGACTCGAGCCACCTTGCCTGTCTACCTTAGGATTTATTTACAGTTTATGAGGAATTGAACTCTGAATGAAAGTTCTGGAAATGACAGTAGTTACCCAATGAGTCTAACCTCTTTGTTATACATGGGAAAGTTGAAAAAAGGATTTAAAAAAAAAAAACAGTTGTTGACATGAACGTCTGTTCTCTTAACTTCCTTCCTGTCCTGTGTTCTTTAGGATAGATACAATGTGCAAACTAAGCTTACTCTTAAAAGAAAGAGGGGCTGGGGTAGAGTGCTTGCCTAGCAAGCGTGAAGCACTAGGCTTGATCTCCAGCATACAGAAGAGCAAGCAGAGTATACGTACATATCAGATCAGATCATAGGTAAGCAACCAAGAAATGGATGGTGTATGTTCATACAAAGGCTTGTATATGAGTGTTCATGGAAGTATTATAGAAAAAAAAGGGGGGATGCAAATGTCCATCAACAGTTCAAGGGATAAGGTGAGATATATTCATACAAGAAAATGCAACCATGTGGCTATTAAAATAATTATGTCCAGAGAAACCATTTTATGCCCAGAATAAACAGTGGACACTTCATCTAAAATTCAGAAAAAATTCAAATTACTCTGTAGCACAGAAAGCAGATGTATGGTTCTGAGGGGGATGGAAGTGGAGCAGGGAGGAACCTCAAAGGAGTAGGTAGAGGGGAGTTGTGTAGGCAATAGATGATCGCTACTGATTGTACAAGGGGCTTCAGAGCTGTATGCACCCTACAGTGTGAACCAAAGCTACACACTCCACAGTGAGTCCATTCTACGTCAATGAAGTTGTTCAGTTTGCGACAGTTCTTAGGTTTCAAAAGCTGAATGTGACTGGAAACAGAAGAATCTGAAGCACAGGAACACTCCAGTGACTTCTGGCATAGCTGACAACCAAGGCTCTATTCTGGGATGATAGTTTATCTGAAGAAAACATTACTATGAGAAATGCAAAGTCATAAAAATAAAAAATAGAAATGACATTTTTGTCCCCCCGGTAATCATGTCATTTCCTTATGCCCGCAGAGTTGCTCTGTAGCATAATCTTTTTAGTGTTCTATTCAATTTGGTTGTTTAAAGAGAGCAATAACCTTGTCGTATTTTTCCTGAACTACTAGACTGTTCTTTTATGAACAAGATGGCCAATCGCTGGTGTGTGTATGTGAGTGTGCAGAAAGCTACGCTCTATCTATAAATTTTAGCAAATGCTGTAATGTGTTTTGGGAATGCGTCGTCAATACTCAACAGCGGCGCCAGAAACTGGAAATTTCTAGAAACCATACCTTCTTCAAGATGAACACTATACATATATATATATATTTTT